GGAATAGCACGTACCGACATCAAGAGTTGTGTCGTGGAAGAAGCAGGTAATTATTACATGGCCTAGAACGAATCAATAATGAGCGACTGATGATATCAAAGGAATATTAAACGCCTTTCCCTCTGGACATGGCACGCCGAAGAAAGAGAGACGAGCGACTTAGCTTCTCCGAATGAGGTCGACGTTCAGGTCTATGAGCATATATCGGCAAGCGGCCCGACTTCCGCGTATATTTGCTCCTATTAATTTCCCAAGCCAAAGGGAGCTGCTTCTTCCGCGAGGTCGCTTCTAACAATCATTCTCGACCATTCAACTCCTCCATACCCGTGATCTCAATATCACCAGCTTCCGAATCTGCCGGAATCGGGCAGCCCATTGGGTTAGTCGTTCGGCCAACTGACGAGTTGCGAGATTTCTTTCATGTTTCTTTCTTTGGACGGTGGAATTTTTCGTGCAGCCTGAGAGTCTTTGTTCACAGGATTAACTTGCATGCTGCAGATCTCTGCTGTCAGTTTCGAAGATTCTTCGGATGCGCGATAAAGTGCCTGTTAATGGGGATCTCGCTCGAACCTTCGATGTTCACGACGCTTGCGCCCCACGGGGGGGCTTCTGAGCTCAAATTCAGTGGCGGCCCACGAACAATCTACACGTGTTGATTCCCTCATCGCTGAGCTTCGTTTTTTTTTTTTCTTCACTCACGTGCACCATTACTTCCATACATAACTCGGACCCTGTTTCGCGTCATACATACATAAATCCCGGGGCCTGATTGCTTCGATGAAAGGAAGGACGTGAACCCTGTGACGCTGGCGTTCTTTTGTAAGTAATCTTACTACCGTGCCGGGAGATCCGATTGCCGATTGTTCAAAGCTCCCGCGGTTGGGGGCTTCGGATGGGGTCCTGTTTTTTCCCCTCCTCTGATCACAGTCGCTTCTCTCCGGCTCGGAGTAACGACCGCGTTCGCGAAATAGGCGACGTCGGTCTCCAGAGTGGCCTGCTGGAAAGCCAAGCGTTCGACACCGGGGTACGCATCCATACGGTTTCTCTCCTTCTATACTTGTGTGTTCTTCAAGTTTTTGGGGAACGGACATCAAGGTATTCAGTTGGAACATGCTGATTCGATTCCTACCCACCACCAGGCTGGACCCGGCGTTTATCATGGCTTCTTCGCAGGCTGGTTTCTAAAAAAACGGTCAGCCAGCGTCGAGGCGTCGACGCTGCCCTTCTAAAGTTTCCGGTCAATTAGCTTGTATGTGGGTCCTCGTACTCACGCAGGTTCAAGCGTGGTTGATCACTGGGTGTGTCCTCGTGACCGCACGTCGCCGGGTGCCGCGGCACTATAGCGGCATCAATAATCATCCCTTCCTTCCGTCTTGCAGTCATGCAACCGTATCTGCCGCAGGAGCTTATCGACGAGATTATCGATCGCATGCAGGATGATTTCCGAGCCCTCAGAGCATGTTCTTTGACTACTCGGTCGTTCCTGCCGTCCAGTCGCAAGCACCTTTACTCCCACGTCATAATCTTCCAGTCTGGCGTGGACGCGCCGTTGCCTAACAGTTTTGCTGGGAGCAAGTTTACTTGCGAGTCGTTTTACGGTTTGCTTCAGGAAGGGATTACCCCTGTTGCGCCTCTTGTCAAGTTCCTGAGCATACAGGACGGCTTGGAGGGAACACCAGGCTACCTAGTTCACAGGGAGAAAGTTAGATTCCCTTTCATTCTTGATTTACTGCGGAATCTGGAGCGTGTATCTATTTCCAGTCATCGGGGCTCTCTATCTTGGGATGCACACGAGACTCCTATCGCATCTTTCCTCGAAACATTTCGATCTCCTTCACTAACGTCTCTTGATCTCGATAATCTCACTTTCTGCGGTTTTGATGGTATTGCGCGTATTCTATACGAATGCAGCGACACGCTCAAGCATTTATCTCTCAACTACATCACAATATTTTCGAGGGATGTGGATATCCATGATCTTACGGCCAAATATGATGGTCGTCATCTCCATCTTGAGTCACTTCGACTCGTGGAAGATGACCTGGGTCTCGTAGCCAAGTTTATACTGCACGAGTCCTCTCCATTGAGGATAGATTGCCTTCGAGAGCTTTCGATCTCCTCGAACCGGCATAATTCCTTCGTAGGGCTCGTTGCCGGTACCCGTGATACACTCGAGCACCTTGATTTTTTCGTGAACCACAACGGTACGCCCCAGATCTCCATCTGTATGCCAATGTTTAGCTAACGCTGAAACAGGGGATATCACCACGCCCTTATTCATGGAGGCCCACAAGCGTCTCAAATCCATATATGTGGGTATAGGCAACCATGTTACGAATTTGGCCTGGATAGACTCCATCCCGCTCAATCCCACGATCGAAACGCTCACTCTCGAACTGGTGAACCCCGATGTTTCTGACAAGGCGTTACTATGGGCGCAGCTGGACGCCCGCACATCGGGAGCATCATTACGCGAGGTGAACGTAAAACTCCACGGTCTGAGCCGTCCGAGTCGCAACCCCCACTCGTGCGAGCCGTATACATGTCGCGACTATGTGGCGTGTGCCGATGGATCTGCTATCCTCGCACTGGTGGAGGACCGGTTGCCCACCCTACGAAGTAAAGTTCGCTTGACGGTTCAGGAAGTAGCGCGTATGTCATTTCTCTTCTTTCTACGGAGGGTACGTCGCGTGAGGCTGAGCCTTAATTTATCAGAGCGAAGACTGCAGGCTGGAGGTATGTGGTCTCGGCATCTGGCGTGAGTTCTACGGGAAGGCCCCACAAGCTCGCCGACTGTATTCTAGGATGTAAATTAGGCCGTGTGAGGATTGCAAGGATCTGAATACTGTACCCGATGTATATATTTCCATACATAGTGACACTACAAGCGTTCATATAGCGGCTGTTCTCCCGAGGGTTTGCACAGTCGCTGTGTCTCTTACAGGTAAACTAATAAGCGTAAATGGGCGCGATGGCCTCCTGGTGATCACAGATGTTTCGACGCGTAAACATGTCTGTTGGGTCGACAGTAATTATTATGCATTGAGCGCTCGGCGGAAAATGCTCTAAACCATCAGTCGCACAGCCATCAACAGGGCGTCGCGAGGGACCATCATGGATAACCTCTCTAAAGAATGATCTAGTGTGGGGAAAGATCATTGTGATACAGCTGGGAACGCATCATGTTCTCCGTTATCACCGCCGGGTACCTCATCCTTTGGCAGTATACAGCCTAGCTTATAGAGCACCATTCATTTCGCTAAAGTTTGAAACGTGGGAATTTAGCTAGAAGGCACCTGGCCAGGCATATTTTGGATGAAGACCGCATGAGAACGATAATAAGTTCAGTCTGTCACTTTGATCGTGTTCATCTGTCTAGTAAGTTGTCGAAATTACATCAAGACTTTTACTCTGAACTGTTGGCTCACATAAAATGAAACTTTAGAAGAACCTGGCTTCCAGAAAAAAAATTTCGATGAGCCCGGGTGGCGATCATGGTTGTTCACGATGATGGTCGCTTATGCGCCACCCATTCTCCGAGGCCTTTCTTTCCGAGAGCCTGGGCACGTTGCCAGACGACTGTGGACTTTCGGCATGTATATTCATACGTTTGTGAATTGAATTGCCTGTTAGAAGTTAGTTGTCACTAGTCGTTACCGCTTTAACGTACACTCTCAGGCAATCATGGTGCAAGTACCGAGGTCTGTAAAATTATCACGACTCAAGATTTGTATTTTGTTTCGCCACCTTGAAGATAAGGAAACAGACATCCGATAAAGAGGGGTAAACTACGAATGCGCTATCTATAACAGCTTTTAGAGAGTTTAAATCAAGCACAACGGGAGCGTCAGCCTAGCGGGTGGTGTCCTTTCACATAACGAATAAAAATAATCCAGCGCAGCTGCGTTGAGCTTTCACCTCTTCGGGCACGCTGCGGCCACCCTTCCTGCGAAATACATTGACGGTAGCCTGTGCTAAAGCCAATAGAGTTCTGGGTTTTCGATTGCTGATGAAAATTCCCAGCGCCGTGTGCAGCTTTGCCAGTGAAGCGCCCTCGCACAAGAGTTCATCAACCACTCGATCACATTGCACCAAGTCGATCACCGAAAGATGTTCCTTCTCTAGAACACCCATTGCCCCGCCGACGGTACCCGGGCCCGGTGCAGTAAAAAGATATACACGCTTAATTGTATTATGAGATTTATGATCCCTGAATGGTTCACTTACTCGTGTCGAGTGGAGCCCTGATTGTGAACCGGTCTAGAACCAAAGCGCGGGAATGGTTCGATAGCCGACTCGGAGCCTCGAAAGAGTGTTGTTACCGCTACAGAGGCGTGGATGAAATACGGAAGAGATAAGTAGCACAAGCTTCGCTAGGATCGGCTACTTGGTTTGGAAAGATAGCAGAATGTGTACCGTAAACCAGAGCTATCAAATCGGACACTGAAGATTGAGATGATATTCAATCCTCAGAGGTCCAGAGCGATCTCTGAGATATCTTCGCACTTTTCTTAGATATGACTGCAGATCTCGGGGTACCGGTACGAATATCGAATAGCAGGTACCCCAGATTCGGCATTCAGACCTTGCCTTGAAACTCACCACAAGGTACGACTTGAACGTTTGCTAGCTACACATGCGCAACACGCACGAGATATGGACACGAAACAGCAAATGAACGATTTCAGGACGTTTTGCGTACCGGGACATTGGTCGCTTAAAAAGTACAATCGCAACAGTGAATGAATGATCTTGAACTTCTATTACGGCTCTGACTCGAATCACCAGAAGAGAGCCTCGGGGTCAAACAGGCGTATGGGCTGCGCTTGTCTCACTTATGCCACGTTGTAGCGCTAAGAGAGGAGGGACTAGCAGAAGCGCGCGAACGGAAGCTGTCCTAATAAAGTAGTATCGTAAACCAGACTGCATGATAAGGAGCATTGATCGAGACCCTCAGTGGTCTGGTCGATCGTGTGCTATCAATGGCAAGCCACTCGCATGGCTCAATGGTCTAGTAGTATGATTCGCGCTTCGGGACGATGAATCCTTTGATTATATAATCAATCACGTGTGCGAGGTCCCGGGTTCAACTCCCGGTTGAGCCCTTTTGATTAGACCCAGATGTGTTCTAACTTCTCTTTTTCCAAGTTTCCCGAAGGAACTAACTCGTGTGAGAAGATTTGCGTGAATACGAATGTGTTTTTTATGTGATCGGGATCTCCAGTTCCGATTGCCAATTTAGGTCTCGGCCCGATCAGCCCCCGCGACGGTCTTGCCTTCGTGCGTGACCATGCGTGCTTAAAGCGCTGACAAGTTCTTGCACCCTTTATTGGGCATTACTCTGTTCCCTGCACTACATTGTTTTATTTTACTGGTGAGTGCGTTGTTTACCTCCTAGGCTTCTTCGAGACGCAGCTTTCTTACCTACGGGTATCCTAATGCGATTCACGTACCGCAGCCGTAGTGACCCAAGTTGCGACGCGTGCTTAGTTGCACTATGTACTTATTTTTCCTCAGACTCTCTTGCAACATACACCGTGCATCACTTGAATCCTACTTTGCTCACACCTCCGACGCTTCATTCCAATTTCCTATGCGTCAAGTTGTCGTGTAACTAGGAGTACTACACGAGTTCAGCTCGCCATTTCACCTTGGACGTCTGCACGTAAACCAAACGTAGCATGCCGATACAAATTTTATATTTACGCCTGCACTGCGTTGCTTCATTCACGACTCACGGCATAATGACTTCTTGTCACCCTGCCGATCATTACCTTCTCCCGCCTGCATTATGCCTTGGCTAAAATATTTCTCCGTGCCTCGTGTAGCCCACCCGCCAGAAATAGCATGTGCAAGCCGGCTCAGTTGCATCCGCACTTGGTGTCTAGGGCGGAGGGAGCACCTCCCGATTGAGGAGAAATTTCTTCCTTCTCTTTTTCTTCATTTCCCAGGGTCCGGGTTAAGATAAAATGTGGCTAACGTCCCTTGGGAATATGCGAGTGCAACGTGCCTCCACTCCTCGCTTCGGGGGTACTCTGCAAGGAATAGCACTTTGCCTCCCATTTACGCAACCCATGTCCTATAGAGAGAAAATGTAACCGAGGGAATAGTGTGTTCGCTGTCATGATGATGAGATGTTCTAGACATGTAAATGCATTGATGTGGCGATGATTTTCGATCCATTCAATTATGCATTGCTTCCCTGGACTTCGCTTTATCATAATCACAAGATCTAGACACAACATAGTCGGCTGCATAAATTAGTTTCTCGGTCCTCGGACTCAATCGTGGGTGTGATTGCCTACATCTTTTTTGGTAGGCTGCTGGTTTTTACCAGTGCACCAATAGACATACTGGGTTCGGTGGCTTGCTAATATTTTAGAAGAGTTCGCCAATACATATCTCATCGCCCGAGCTGCCCACATTGCGCCGCAACTAAGGTATGATACGATTTTGTGCACTGGTTATGAGACCACAGTGCTAAAGTGATTGATGTTCCTACCCCAGTGAAATGATACGATCTGTCGAAGAGAAACAAAAATACCGCAGCTTGAGAGAACTGCGCATTTACTAATAGCCACATTCGAAAAACAGTCAAGATAGTTAACATGAGGAAAGTCGAACGCGAAGAACTGCCAGTAGAAGTGAGGCGTCGAAATTGCCACTTCTCGAGGCCGTGTCGCGAATAGACTCATGCACGTTTGAAACGACCAAAAATAACGACATCAAAAATTTGGGTAACTTAACGTGTGTACGTGTACAAGGTGTGAATAAAGTAATGCTACATAGTCCCAGCTTCAAGAAAGTGCAAAACATATCAAAGTACTATAACAGCACCAACCAACGAGAACACCAGAGCAGTGCCCACGGAATATATATATCTATCGCTTCCATCCAAGGACCGTACCAAGGAGAAGGCGGCGGATGACTGTGTTGCGGTAGCTGAAACTTGTGCCTTTGCCGTCGTTGCGCTCGTGCTCGAAGGAGAAGACTAGATAGAGAGATGTAAGCATTTTGTTTCACTTCAAAAAGTTTCTCTGACCGTGGAAGTTATGGTCGACGATTTAGAAGTTGTCGTGGCGGCAGCCCCAAGAGCAGTGACGGTGGTGCACTGGGAGGATGAGGGAATTGGGTGGGGAGCAGGTGTGTTAGGTTGGCCTTGCTGCCAGGTCGCTCCATCGTACACACCCATAGGCTGACCGCTGTCACCCTGACACGATTCAAACACTCCGGAGCTGTAGTTGGCGGGCATGTTCCATGCACAACCCATCACGTCGTAGATGTGTTGACCTGAAGAGGAAATCATATATAGGAACCTGGTAAGGGGAGGGATGGGTACTCACACCACCCTGGAGCATTGTTCCCGGAAGGGTTACAAGCCCGGAAGCAGAATTGGTCGGCGGCCATAAAGCTCTACAAACTCCGTCAGTACATACCTTCGACAATAGAAATATAACCGACCGTCCACTCGTGTATCTGCTGGAGTTCTCCGAATGCTGATGAGAAGACTAATCCACCAATCGGATTACCATTTCCGTCTGCGCCGTGAGGATCTAGCTCTCCTCCACTGTCACCAGCTGGTACATTCATCTTTGTAAAATCTCCGACACCAGTAACTTGAACCTACGATATTCATCGTGATCAGTAAATGAGTACCTCCCTATAGCTTTGACTCACGAAATCCGGTGTCTTAACGAAGTGAGCTCCGGTGATAGCGTCCGCAGGGATCGTGCGAGTACCGTAGCCCGACTAAGATATGATCAGGATCGACGCAAATCTATATGGTGGAAAATGGTTACCTTGAGGCACCACGAGACTTCAATACGCTGTGCAACATGAATAAGCCCGGGCTGCAGTGACTGTGATGTTCATAACACACCTCAGTCTCTCCGATTCCGGAGTTTGGGCCGGGTTCGGGTGGACTCCAGAGGCAGCTGCATGTGACTGAGAAAGGGATGTACCCCAATATGGCGGCAACTTACAAGTCATCAATCGAATTAACTGGAGAAAAGTTAACAAGGGTCTCTTTATACGCGAAAATTTCACGTACTGTAGGCATTTTGGCAGTTCGACTTTTGGTCGTTTGTCGTCCCGCATTTGTTTGTACCAGCCTGGCCCTGTTCGGAAGTGGCTGGGGCGTTACTCGGTAGATAGGTCGCGGTATATTGAGCGTAAGCAACACCGGCGAACGAAGAGAGAAGTGCGACTCGGGAGACCATTGTGAATGTGAATGTGTGAATGTGCGAATGGGTCTGAGAAAGATAATTTTCATCCGTTACTGCGCTCAGGTTTAAGTAGGGGAACGCCACACTAGAAACATCAACATTGTCTGTGTACGATCGAAACCTCATCAAGACATCTCCACTAGTGTTGACGAAGCGGACTCAAATCAACGATCGTATTACTGAGACGAACCCGAAAGCGGCTAGACACTGACAGGCATCCTCGAAAATATTGCAAGATCCTTGCCAGGAGTATATGGATGAATGCTGTACGACAGGGTGAGCCGTGTCTATTTTTGCAGCATAGCGTTTAACCTGAAACCTACGAGTCCTGAAGGCAGTACGGGTAATTCCTCCTTTTAAACGCAGTCGTACGGGCTTACGACTGGCTTCATTCTCAATAATACGCTGCATTATGACGAGCGATGGATGGTGTCTTCACGTGCTATTGAGTTTCGATCTGGAGTAAGAAGCGATGACGAGACATATGGAAAAAGAAAAACTATCATAGTGAATCAACATACGAGACATCGATAGCACGAGTTTCCTACAATTTCGAGAATAGGGCCCCCAGGCTCCGACGTCGACGCTGTCAGATCGTACACACCAGGAGGCAGTATAGTGCAACATTAATGATTCGCGTTTCATCTGACGGAAAGGATGCTAGAGGTAAGAATCTGGAAGGTTCGATACTACTGGACGTACCGGTGGGGAAAGTAAGGTCACGAGCGTAGGGCCGAAGTTCTAAGAATATCTCGGTATCAGTATGGTCTAGCATCGATTCCCATCTGCCATCCGCTGACGACTTGATAGCGAGAGTAGTGGATTGCGCATACATACAGTATATCTGAAAACAGGTAAATACCCTACAAACAAGTAGGGCGAACCGGTGACGCACGAGGGGCCGCAGTGTATCTCAATGGGATCCGTCCTTGAGTACCCTGGAAATAATTGCGCGCGCTCCTTTTTCATCGTGCTTGACACAAAACATTGACAACCCGATTGTATCCGAATAAGGCGCGTATATAGTCGGGTACAATCTAGTAGAGACAGATGAGAAAGTGTCGACAAGCAAGAGTAGCATGGAGTCGCACAAGCCAGGTCACCTGCTTTCGCAATGGTGTCTCTGGATTGCGATACGTCTCGTCATTGCAACTGTATTGGACCTGAACTGTGGTCAGATTTGCACGGACTAGGCAACTCTAGCTCCTCTGAGAACATCGGTACGCACCCTTCTCAACAGAAGAAAATGGCAGTGTCTCAACGCGACGCGGACTCTGAATAGGCGCATATACCCAGCTCTTCAGGCGCAAATCCGTGAGAAAAGAAGGAGCCATCAAAGATAAGAAGCTGACGCACCTGGCGTTGTTATCGACAGCCCATTCATGACCGACTTCCTGGGATTCGTCGAGGGTACTTTCATCGCTGTGTTACAACATTCCTTCCGAAGATCGGAGACGCGTTTTCTGGGCTGATAAGGAATTTTTTGAGAGTTCAACGTTCATGACGGATCCATCGGAATACCAAAAAAAAACTCACACTGAATTACAGCGTAGAACGTGCAGGCATTGAGGAGAACGAATGCAGGATACAGCATACACAACGGCGCGATGATGGGGATTTAGAGTCAACGTGCGCAACGACCAAACAAACAAAGCATCTCTTCCTCTTACTCCCATCACCTCACATCAGGGCATCCCTTTCCCGACGCGTCGTCACCCTGCACTGACTATTGTTATCATCGCCTGAGAAGGCTAAGATAAGCTCACAATAATAGTCTCGGAGTCCGCGATAACGAGGTGCCGAAATGCTCTCCTAGATCGCACACAGAAGCCAGTCTTTGCGATATGGATACAGAATGGATATCTGTCCAGCTGGGTCAA